CCATGAGAGGTGGTTTTGGTCTTGGATCATATGGTTATGATGCTTGAAAGAAAGGACTAGGTGGTATTCTGTTGGTTACAACAACAAATCAAAGGTCTGTGGTTACGGAAAAGAAAATATGGATGGTTTAAGTGAGATGAACAAAGGACCTAGAGTAAAAGGGTATAAGAATCCGGATGGTCTTGGACCTGCAACAATAGCTGTCAAAGAATTGAACCTTCCACTGACTGAGAGCAATAAGGACGGTGTTTCTCTTTTTCCAGATATCGAGCAGTATAATAAAGAAGATTTTCCTGAGCATTATTCGGATGCAAAGTTCTTTGTCATCAAATCCTATAGTGAGGATGATGTCCACAAAAGTATCAAATACAATGTGTGGGCCAGCACAACTACTGGCAACAAGAAACTTGATGCAGCATTCCATGAGGCCAAGGAGAAGCCCAATAGCTGTCCCGTGTTTCTTCTTTTCTCGGTAAGTACGATTACCGTTTATCTGCTCCGTTGATTTAGTTAGCATATAATTTTCTTGAATGTTACTAGGCCTGAGCCTTTTCCAGGTTAACACCAGTGGACAATTTGTTGGGGTAGCTGAGATGATGGGCCCGGTTGATTTTAACAGAACCATAGAATACTGGCAACAAGACAAGTGGACTGGCTGCTTCCCTGTGAAGTGGCACATTATTAAGGATGTGCCAAACACTTCACTGAGGCACATAACACTCGGGAACAATGAGAACAAGCCTGTCACTAATAGTAGGGACACCCAAGAAATATTCTCTCTCTTCCAGTATATGTTTTACTTGGACTCACGGTGCTTGTTGTATATGGGTATGCACCTGAAATTGGTCTATGTTTTCAAGTTTTTTCATATATTTGGAGGATCATATCCTAGCAAGTGTATGGGTGGTAGGCACTAGTACTTGAGGGAAAATGAAGAGTCAGAGAAACATAGGTCATACATTCTCCTTTTCGTGATTTTTTTCATCCTGCTCATCATAAAAGGGTTAGTTGTTATAGGTTAATTTTGAGCAGGGGGTTCAAATTCTCAAAATCTTCAAGGATCATTCCAGTCAGACATGTATTCTCGACGATTTCAAATTCTACGAGGTTCGTCAAAAGATAATCCAATAGAAAAAGGCTAAGTGTCAGCTGTCACATAAACAGGTTTTCTCTTGCATGTAACTTGAAAATATGCTTTTTATTATATAGCATCCTACAATTGGCTTGCATAAACTGCATAAATATCAAGTACTTTATGTTATTCCGAATCAGGTTTCAAGTGGGGGGCCTAATGGTGATGCTGTAACTGATATAACAAAGGAAATACAGCAATAACAAACGAGAATTTGAAAAAATCTGTAGAGTTGGCCTTGATAGAAGAACCATCCATTGCATTAACGGACAAGGCGAATGGAAATGTGAAACCCATAGAATAGAACAGATCAGTTGCTGCGACTGAAGTCAACAACACCACGAAAGCAGTTAAGGTTGGGAGTACTTGCTAATTGGCTTCTTAGACAGAATAGGAGTGTGCTTTGGGTTTGTTTTATTAACAAGATTAGCTAATTCGTACCAGCTATTATGACTCTCATAGCATCTTTTCGGCCTTGTAGCAATCAAGCCATGGTCAGACAATCTTCACTGCTCTGTACACGTTTGATTTTTTTTTCCCGTTTTGTTTGTGATTTTCATCTACTTCCTTTTGTTTTTATTAATGAGAAACAGTCCAACGGAAAAAATTACCCAAGGGGGAAAACTTATTTGTACTTGGTGTTTGATTTATTTATTTCATCCAATATTTTTTTAATTTTGTTTGAGCTCAGACATCCGGATCTAGCGTGTGTGTCGAATCTAGGTCATACCTCTGTAACAAACTCTTCATTGGTGAATTAAAGTTGCAATTACTGCCTCAATTCTGAAAAGAGTGCCAAAAACTTCATAATGGACAGTTTACCTAAACATCTCAAATAATACAAAATGCATATATATATATGCATCATTGTTGGCATTGTGGAAGCAGTCTACAGGCCGGACAGTACCATTTTCCCTTGAATCTTGTCTCCGGTGTCAGGCCCACGCATGCATAATGGAACCATTCACCTCCTTGGCACTAAATAAGTAGAAATGAGACGGTAACCACCAAATTATCATTGTGGCAAAAACATGCGACTCTAAAACTTCATTTTTCGTATCCGTGTTCGACACCCATGTTTGAATCATATTCAAACACAAACACGGTATGAGGACAAGAAACCCTTCCAAATACATGAAAATATTGAACACTAAACTCGATGCAATAAATATTGAAAACCTAAATGATGAAGAGTTAAATATAACACAGGGCAGTAAAGAAACACTACTAAATAAATAAATAGAGGAAGACATAAGAGAAAAATAACTCACATTTTCATTGTCACAGGCAATCATATCTCCAAATGACACCTAAATAAGGTATAAAACAATTCTTCAATTTTGAACAAATGCACTAAATCAAGAAGCAATAAAAAAGAATAAGTAAATCAGTAATGAAAGCCTAACCTGATGGCAGACACAATAAGTAGGTTCATTTGGATCAATGGGTTGATCAACCTCAAGAGGGGTAGCAAAATCTTTCTTATGGCTTCCAGGAGGAGGCATTAGCTTGAAACCCCTATCACGCTCTCGGTCCCAATCTCTATCCCTGTAATCCAGCCTCTTCGACGGGGGTGTAAAATAAATGGGCTTGCGTTTCTCAACCTTAGGAACAATAGGCAATGGAGGAAGAATTGCATGCTCATCTGGTGAAATTTTTCCTTCTGGTAAAATTGCAGGAAGAAAAAGTATGGTGACAAATGTTAACAACCTGAAGCAGCATGTTGTCCATCAATGATGCTCGGTTTTGATTACTATTACTGTACCTAGCTTTAGATCTTCAGCAAAGTAGGTCAAATCCTCATCCAGGCGTTTTACATGGCTATCTATCTGAAACAAGTTTCAGGTATAAAATTTGGTGAGCTTTCTAATCAATATGATTCACAAAATGGTAGCAGCTCGAGTAGCTGTGTTACTGTGTATAAAAACAACCCAGGATGGTTTTGGGACTACATTGCATCCTTAAATGTGCCAGAACAAGGTGCAGATTGACATCTCTTAGAAAGAGGAAGGAATAAAATACATGATATCTAGTTAGTTAGTCACAAGCCAATCAATTTGCTTACAAAACTATGCTGTTAATCAAATCCTCTTCACTCAAACATGACAGTGACGAAGTAAAAGCACTTACAGCTAAGCGATACAAAAAACTATTTTTTGTTATCACTGATGACTTTAACACAGAAATGCTGGTTTAAACTTGAAAAGGTGCAGAAGATAACAATTTCATAGCGTTCCACAAAATGATACCACAAGAAACCTCAATCTTCAATAACAGAAAACTAATTATTTACAAAGCAATGCTTAGGCGATGGCACATACTCACCAAATCGTAAGCTTGGCGTGCCAACAAAACCTTCTCGGTGCACAGACTCAAGGCATTTTCGTGACTCGCCTCTATATCTTTATTGATTTTCTCAATTGTGTCCTCATCATCGTGACTAATATTCATATAACTATTGCCATTCCCTCTTTTCGCCACCAAACCTAAACAATACTTAGTCTGTTGTCTCGTCTGATTAATCGTAGCTTCGGGAAAAATTTAACATTTTAATTAAGATCCCCCAAATTTAGAAACCTAATTATTGAAAACCAAAATTTTTTATAGGCTTACATTGGGACCTTTCATCAAGTTCTCGGATTGTATTGAGGAGTCTCTGAAGCTCAGCAGGTAGTGTGCTGGCGTCTGCTGGAAATTAAAACGGGAAATTTTGAAACTTAAATTAAATATGAAATTGAAGCTCGAAATTTATTATAAAAATTCATAAAAAGTTAAATTCTGATGTGAGAAATTTGAGCAGTCGCGAGGATTCGAACTTACACTCCAGATAATCGTCAACGTAGACGCCGGTTCTCGCTATTGCCATTTTTATCAAAGATTTGGGGGTTTAGGGCTTTGCTTTGAGATATTCCGCAAATTTGATTTGTAGGTTTCGGAATGGGGATTAAAGAAGTAAAGGGTAAATAATTAGGTTTTTCACCGTTGTGAAAGCGGGGGAATGTTCAGTAAATATTCTATAGAACGGTTACTAATTCTACAAAGGCGTAATGATAAAATTAGTATTAATATTTGTTTAAATAGTTGTTTTAGAATTAGATTTTTAATATTTTAATTTTTAATCAAAATAGTTAATGTTAGATAAAAGTTATTAGTTGATATATATTGTTGATGTGGTATTTCTATATTTTTTTAATTGATAACATGAAATATATCATGTCACCTAAAGAATGATATACTATGTGTTATGTTAATAATTAAGTACATATAAAAATAACACGTTATCAATATGCGTTAACGATTTTCATCTAATATTGATTATTTTGAAAATAAATAAAACATAAAAGCATAAATACTTTAAAAAAAAAGTCAAAATGATAATTTTAATAACTATTGGAAGTTAATTTTATTATTCTACCTTTTATGAATGATAAATTCATTCTCAATATTTAATTAAATAATTATTTTAACTATTACTTTTTAAATGTTTAATGTTTAACGTTTTATTTTACATCAAAATTTTCTTTGATTGGATAAAAATAGTACGTCAACGCTTTAAACATTTTCGAAATCGAATTAGCAGAAAACTCAATTTTAGTGCACGTGCAATGATGAATGCATGTATAGCACTAATTAACCTCAGGACAAATACTAGTATTACAAAGATTCATATTATTCTTCATTAAAATATTAAGACAATCAAACAAACATACAAAGACGAGACATCGCAGTACAATCTGTGGGTATTGGACGGCAGATAAGCAAGCTTAACGTAAGTCCAACGTTATTTTTAATTCCACAACTACTTGAAGTGTAATTAGATGGAGGTACTTATTTATAAGATCCACTATTATGCATTCTAGAATAGAAGCTAAGCAGTTGGAGGATCTGGGACATAGGCAGAGTCAATGAACTTCCAGCGCCCATCTTCCTCCTGAACCATACCCTTGAACAACTCCGTCGTCCACCAGTTATCTGGTATTTTGTATTCGTCCACTAAATTATCACTATGTTTGTTTACGATCGCATTATCGAAATGAAGTTCCTCTTCCAATTTGAACTCACCGTTCTCTTGAACACCTGCAACTCCATGCTGGTAAATCTCCAGATTGTGAGGATTATTAGGGCCTTTCAAGTGGGGTGACTTGGTTGTGTCAATCTCTAGCAATTGTCCCACATGCATGTAGATCAATGGCGCAAACGGAACCATAGGAACGGGGTCCGTGGCATTCACGATGCGTAGGAGATGGAAATGCCCGAGTGTATCGCAAACTGCTTTGAAGCCTGCATTCCCAACGCGAGGGCTGGCACACGGGAAAGCAGTCACCATGAACGCCTTAAATGGGTTGCCCGTCGGCTTGTTGATTCCGTTGTGAGCTATATCCATCGCGTTTAGGGTTGCAAGTGCTGCGCCCAGGCTAGATCGAATGATGATCTCGAGTCGTTCGCTGGTAGCTAAAGTATTAAAAGGGGGTCACTTTGTGTCGAAGGGGGAGTGTAACACCTTAAACTCATACCCGATCCGGATACGAGTCTAGGATGTCACATTGAATATGCAAAACAATACTCTAAAAAACGATAAAACATTTGAACTTATATTATTAAAATACAATAATATATATATATATATATGTTAATACAAGTTTATCAAAATACTCAGAGCATACACAACTTGACCCTTTGATTACATGCCAACATTCATTTACATAACAAAAGGACCTACTGATTAAGTTACCTCTGATCTGATAGTTGCAAGAGTAGTGTTGTCCAGCTGCTTAATATGTCTCGTCTACTTTCTCGGATCCTACGTGTGAAACACTCACACGCTAAGTCATCGACTTAGTGAGACAATATAATAATAATAACAACAAAGAAATGTAATGAAAATTCCATAATAAAATGGAATGAGATGAAATCAAATACTTAACCATGATGTTTATATCACCATGTTCCTTACCTGTAAGCATAGTACATTAACATTCATGAATTCGTATCATGCTTCACAATATGAAATGAATCATGCATCAATGTATTAAATTTAGACTTCTCACAAGTCTAGAACTGAATATATCGCTATAATCATGTTATGCATATGCACTCACCTATATTTCATTGTTTTTTCCTCGATCGATCTTACTAGGCAATTGTTCTGGAACTTGTTTAGGCTCTGTATCTACATAGTAATTCATTGATACTTATCGGTGTACTAATTAATATATTTTAAACTATCATTTCTTGGGCTAAAAGAAAAGTCATTTTCATCTTTTAATGAAGGTATGCATCGATGCACTACACCATGTATCGATGCATCCATTGACGGGTGCATTGATGCACTATCTATGCATCGATACATAAATCCTATTCGATGTTTGTATATAAGGGGGTGCATCGATGCACTACTTGTGCATCGATACACTGATGGCATTCGATGTTTTTATTTTAAAAGAATGCATCGATGCACTTCATGTGCATCGATACACCTTGAACAATTTCTGGGATTTATGCTTGATGCATCGGTACACCTTGAATGTGCATCGATGCACATTGCCCATAAATGTCATTTTAGCACGAAAATCTCTTCATAATCTTCTCAACACTTTATGTTTCCCCTCTTTTTATATTCCTAACTTACATACACTTACTTAAACTAATTATTATCCATTCAATACCTTTAAAACTTAGAAATCAAATCTTCCACATAGATTTCAAGAATCTCCCTCAAATTCCAACATGTTCTAAATCTAACTTTGACCCTTCATATCCTTTAATTCCATTAATGACAAGTCAAATTTAGTCTTAAAATCTAATTAATACATTTTTGTCAAGATTTCAGTTATTCACCTCTTTTCTTTAATCATTCCTAACTTCATCATCTTTTGATTTTAAGATAATCTAAGCTTTCCTTAAGCTTAGTTATCATCTAATGATCAATAAGCAACCTTAAATTCGTCAAGAATTTGATCAACAAGAAAATTCACCTTTAACTTGGCTTCACAGTAGAGAAGAAGAATGAAAAAGAAGATAAATCTGGAAACTTTGGTCTTCCCCACTAACTTCTATGTGGTATAAAATATCCTCAACTAGTATTTAATTATGTCTCTTATTAAAAGACTTATTTACCCCTTTAGTTCCTCTTTCTTTGCTAATTGTTCCTACACAAAACATTTCAATCAATTCTTTGAACTTTTAATTTATCCAATTTAGTCACTGAATTTTTAAATCTCACAATTTAATCACTAATCCGGTATGAAAGATGTTACAGGGAGTCCCTCGGATAACCTTCTCTCCCTCTCTCCATGTCGATTAATCCTTAAATCCTCTATTTTTCACAACCATCATAATTTTTGAAAAACTTCTATAAGTCCGTCTAAATCAAATAAAATAAATCGTCATTAATTATCATCAACTATCATTTATAACAATTTCTTATAATTCTTCACTTAAAAAATTGTCTCGAATCTTTCACTAGAAGAAAATGTGTTTTCAATGACACTAAAAATGATCACTAAAATATCAAATTTAATCATTAAAGATTATAGTAATAAATTCTTTAAGTCGTCACTATTATATTAGTGATTATTTTAAAGAATTTTGTCATAATTACTGTAGACACTAATTTTCGTCGACATATTTTTTTTCCTTTATATGTACCTACATACTTATATATATATACATATTTTGAAACTACGTATATAATATATAGTTTTTAATAGTTTTTAAAACTATATAATATATAGTTTAAAAAAAAAACACATTTTAGAAAATATATATAATATATAATTTTTAAAATCATTTTTGAAAACATATATATTATAGTTTTGAAAACATTTTTTTGAAAACATATATATTATATAGTTTTTGAAGATATTTTTGAAACCATATATATTATATAGTTTTTAAAAACCATTTCGAAAACTTATATAATAAATAGTTTTAAAATCATTTTGAAATTTATATAATATATAGTTGAAATTTTTTTTGAAACATATAATATAGTTTTAAAACGTTTTTGAAAACTATAACATATAGTTTTAAAACATTTTTTAAAATTATATAGTAAATGGTTTTGAAAGTATTTTTGAAATATATATAGTTTTAAAACATTTTTATATGTAGTATTTTATTTTTTATTTCTTGTTTATTATTATTTACTCGTTTTTTTTTTTTTTTTAGGTCTATCATTAAGGTCCAATCAGTCCAGGATTAGGGCCTGAACCAACCCAGTAAAGGTTCAGGGTTCTATCATCAAGTCCAGCGCCGCATGAATCATAACCGTCAGATCAAGATAGGATCAGTGGTCAGGATTGCAAAATAACAAGGGTTTGTCTAACCCTTAAATGCGCAGCCAGATCCAGACCGTTGGATCTGACCCAATCCAACGGTCGAGATCAAATCCGGGAAGGTACCAGAAGCCTCAACGCCATCACACCGGTCACCGGGATTTTCGGCCGAGGAGATCGGGACTGACCCATCCCGAAATCCCCGGCCAATCAACCACGATGAGCACCGTGACAATCGGAACCAACAGGCCACCGGTGGGGTATAAATACTCCCACCAAGCCACTGCCAAAGGGGGACGATGAAACGAAACCAAATATAGAGATCATTGGCCAAAACAGAGCCAAACCACCATCACCGGGCATCCACAGTACCCAACAGGATCCACAAAACCCACGAGGACATCACTGAACAAAATCATCGAGACCCACGTCGAACATCAAACACAACCAGACCAACAGACAACACAGTGAACCAAAACCATCACCGGTACAACACAGCCAAATATCACAACACCAAAAACCACGAACCATAAGGCAAATACAGAAACAAAACCCAAAAAAAAACAAATACCAAAAAATACCGAAGGTAGCCCCGATCGAAGCGTTGGAACCGAGAAGAGCCGGTCGCCAGAAGTCGAAGAGTCTCATCGGAAAAAGGTGGGAACCGAGGGTTTTTATCTTAGATCTACGCTTACTGGGGTGTGTTTTAGGGATTTAGAGGTTGGTTTTGGGTTCACGGTGCGGAGGAGAGCATTTTGTGGGGGCTCAGATATTTCGGCCACCGCAGGCGGTGGCCGGCACGGTGGCCGACGCGGTGGAGGGGCCACCGGATCTTGGCCGGGCTAGAGAGAGGCGAGGGAAATTTCATTCTCTCGTTTTTAGAGAGAGAAGGGAAATGTAGAGAATGAAGAGGAATGAGGGATTTGGGGTTCTGTGGGGCTTAAATCCAGGAATCAAAACGACGCCGTTTTGAACCCTCATCACAGTGTTTTTCAAAATTTCAGGGTTAATCTCAGCTTTAGTCCTCCTCAGCTGGTAATCTCGCACGCGTGTCCCACATTTTTGGAGTAACTATGATTTTGGTCCCCCGTATGTTTTGTACATTTCATTTTGCCCCTGAAAATCATTCATTCTTCGATTTACATTGAAATTGAACCTCAAATTTGATTTTATTTCAATTTAATCCTTTTTATTATTTCTATATTTTTATTTGATTTTTATTTTTAGCATTATTATTATTATTCATTTGTCTTTGTTTATTTTATCTCATTTTATTTCATCGGCTTATTTTTATTTTTTTTCCTCTCTATTTTATCTATTTTTTTTTCCTTTTTTTTGATTTAATGATTATTTTTCTTTTTTTTATTTTCTACATTTTTTCTTTGATCTATTCAACATTTATTATTCTTTGACTAACATTTCCGATCCCCTTTTTTAGAGAAATTCCCAATCAATCCAAGGTAAGTAATTTGAATCGAATTTCTAAATTTCAATTTAAATTCCAATTTTCGCAATTAAAGACAACCGACAAATTAATCGGTACCGAAAGGGTGGTTCAAGGGTGCTAATCCTTCCTTGACCGTAACCGACTCCCGAACCCAATACGTTTCTGGTACGACGCAGATCAGGTAAGAGGGTGTCCGGCCCACCTAAATTCGTTTTAAAGTGGTCGGTGGCGACTCCAATCCACAATTTTCAAGTCGAAGCCCAAATTCCGGGGCCCAACCGAAAGACGGTTGCGACAGCTTGGCGACTCCACTGGGGACAGGTAAGTGAGTCAGGCCAGAATTAATTTTCGGTTGTCTTTTTATGCGAAAATTGTAAATTTAAATTTTAATTTATTTATTCAGTTCCGATTATTTACCTTTGATTATTTTTGAAATAAATAGTTGTACTAACATTTTTTTCAATGATTTCAGATTTTTGAAAAGTTTCCATCTCTGGCTCTATACTCGAGCTCCGAACCCTTTTAAGTGGGGGTGAAAGCGACGCCTTCGTGTGAATTTATTCACCGTGCGGGCCTAGCAAGTAGCCTTCGGGATTCATATACCTTATGCCTTCGTGTGAATTTATTCTCCGTATGGGCATAAGGGAATGTGTCCTCTCG